CCCCAAAACCCCAAAACCCCATGAAGCATAATACAATGAAACAGGGATATGGTAAAAATTAGTAAATTCCCTTATAAAGCTTTATAAATATTATTCTATATTACTAAAAGTGAATAGCAATAGGTATTCTAATTTATATGTGAATCTTAAAACCGAGCAAAAACGATATTTAGAATTATCCAATTAAGCTTTTCAATCAGCACAGAACTCTTCTCAGTTAAGGACTATTTATACTTGACATACTCTTTTTCTGTTAATCCACAGACAGAAAATTTAACTGTTCCAGTTATTCTTAGTTTTTTATTAATTTGATTTAAACGTTGCTTCCCTGGTCAAATTCCTGGAATACCATTGACTAGTCATTAAGACTTTCTTCAATTAGAGAAATTGGTTACTTAATTTATTCCTTATTCCTATCAGAATTTATAATGTCTTGATGTAATTGTTATATCGGCATAAGGTTAGTCTTATCTTGCTTTATAGCTGGCCTAAAATTCTAGCTTTCTCTTTTTTATTTCGAAATGCTATTATCTCTCTAATGTATCTTAGTAAGATTGTTGAGTAATTGCTACCCAAAAGGTCCAGATGATCTTCAACTAGCACAATCAGAGTCCTTAATATTCAACATTCTCTCTGGAGTGTGATTAGAGTTCTCTAATTTTTCTTGATCGCTAGTTTTAAGTACATCACATCTCCTCTTTATACGAAAAGAGGAACTACTTTACTTTTGCCTTACTAGCTTTTAATTTTGCTAAAATGTCTCATTTTCAATGCATTCCTAAGCTTTATTTAGTGGTATAGTGATTCCTTAATTTTGAGACCTAAGAGGTTACTTAATGGTGTTGTCACATTCTTATTATTTTTATTCATCATCAATATTTTTTACTTCTGCATTGCTTTAAACTATTGAACAAACTTATTGGTTTATAATAAGATTTTTCAATGTACCTTAATAAGTAGATATCCCTGAAACAACCCCTAATTAGTTATATAGAAGACCTTTTCTCTGTTATTAATACTTAAAAGTTCTATCCTTTTTTAGATACATAGGTCTAATCCAAGGATGCATCATAGCCTCTCTAGCATTAGGTCTCCTTGTTTCATCATCTCTTAAAATTTAGAGCATAAATTCTTTACAAGCGTCAGTGTATCTACTTAAATTATTTTTAATAGGATCTTTGACATTACATTTCCAATTAAGTTTAAGTATTTAAATAGGGTTGATTCCGTCAAATAAATTAGAGCCAGTAAGCATCTTATAGATAACGCAACCGACACTAAATATATCTGATTTTGAAGAATACTTAGTTGATCTTAGTATTTCTGGAGCCATAAAGCCAGGAGTTCCGCACTTTATTATTTACTATTAGTTTTGAATTTAGTCCAAATAAGCAGATAATCCGAAATCGGCTATACTTAACTTATAGTCAAATCTAAAATCCGGGTTAAATTTCTCTTCAAATAAAATGTTCTGTGGTGTTACATCTCTGTGGACTACATTTTTATCGTGGATGTCACCAAGAGTTTATAGCAGTTGAAAACATACTTATTTTGCTTCATACTCATTCATCATCCCCTTATTTTTTATTAGTTCCTTAAGATTTCCTCCTTTTTTATAATCCATTAAGAGATACACATTTTCATTGTCTTCAAAGATCTAACGCAATTGCACAACATTTGGTAGACTTTTTAATGATTTCATTATTTTTATTTCATTTGATAAACATTCCGCTTAGACATCTTTTTCGATTCCTTTTTTAATAATTTTGAGAGCGTATTTCTACTTGTGAATGTTTGAGGAAATTTCAATTGGCTATACCTTGAATACAGATGCTTAAGATCCTTAACCCAATTTTCTCAATGTATTAAACTATTTCGGATTGAATAATTAGATGGTGTCAAGTTCCATCACGTTTATGAGTGTTTATAATAGAATCTCATTTTATTATGCTCCAACATTGTTAGAAAAGTTAGAGGTAGGCTAAAATATCAATCTAAATTCATAAAGAATATCAGCTTTTCTCAAGCTAAATCCTTGAGCACTATCATAATTTACTGTCTATTTATAGATATCATGATAAATGTGTAGGTATGCGTACTCATAATTAAGAATTCTTATTATTCCAGCATCTTTGGTTATCATATAAAGTAGCTGGTCCGAGACTGAAAGCTACCGTAGTAGTAAAGTCTCTTGTAGTGATCCTTTTGAGTATATTTTTAATTCTAATTCAATTACAGCAATATTGCTCTTAGAAGATGAACGAGTAAAAATCTAGTCTGAATCATCCTTATGTTAGACTACCTCAAATTCTGTATTTAGATTTTTATCAAAGAAATTTAGCATTATAAAGTATTTTAAGCTGTGAATCGATATTATTAAACTTATACACATTTTATCATTTTATATTAGTAATTCAATCTTGCATCATTCTTTTTCTTAAAATAATTTAGAATTAGGGGTTTTGGGGTTTTGGGGGG